TGTCATTCCGAGTTGAATTTTATCAATATTAAGTAAAGCGTTGACTGCAAAGTCACGCAACTTAAGAGAAATCTATATCGAGTTTTGACAAATGCCATTAACTAGCATGGCATTCTGTTAGAAGAATATTCAACCACTGTCATTACCAAACAAACCACTATTCCAACCATTATAATTGATAATATCTCGCCATAACTCTCACAAGAAAATGAAATCATCAACTACGAAACATCATTGCAACCAGAAATTACCATTACAACACGATCAACCACCACGCCTGTCATTACTATATATAATCGAAGAAGGAAAATTTGTTAGATCAACAAACAGAAGAAAAACATCGTCTTGAAAAAGTTTCAACCGATCACATTTTCGAGCAAAAATCAGCCATTACTATGCGGATGTGATAAAAAATGGTGAAACAAAAAGCAGATGAACGTTTTTCTCGAGACTAAAATGAATTACCATTACCGTGGATGCGGAAGACCAAATGGATACCATCAACTATGCAACTCATATTGGAAAAGTGTCATTGCTCAGGATGGCTAGAGCGTCCAAGACCATGATTTTACATAATTCTTAATCTTTGTTCATTTTATTTATATAAAATGATTAATAAAAAAAAAAATAAAAAATGTAAATGATAAAGTGATGGTTACTGCATTAGAACGTCTCAGGAAAAAAGCAATTATATCAATCACTTTATGTTGAATCAGGAAAATTAGTGTGTTGTTTTGCAATCACATACTGTAGATAAAGAATTAGTCTGTTTATGAAACTACCGATGGAAAAGTGAAAATGTAGTTAACATATTATTAGCTATAATAGATATATTAAATCAAATTCAAATTTTTAAAAAAAGGCTGATGCTAGATCAATATCTCAAATTTAGATCCAAATAGAGAAAAAAAATCCACCAATCATTAAAGAACGAATTTTACCAAAGAAAATAATGAGCAAAAACATCTAAAGAATTTTTCAGAAATCTTTTATAATTATGGTATAGCAACCCTTCATCACATCACACAGCAAAAAAATATTAAAATCATTCAACTAGGCTTGAAATTTTTTTTTAATAATGCGCATCTCAATTATTTGTTATTCAAACAACCAACCATTCAATGTAACTTGGATATTTAAAATTTATTACGAATAATTCAAATAATAACCAGTGATGAAGTCACTGTGTAATACACTGTAAATCATTATTTCTAGTTTCAATAATTAATTTGTACTAATTAAAAAAATTCTGTATATTTTCTTTCTAGAAATTAATATTTCTTTTATCATTACTACATTTCATAAAATCAACCCGCATTTGAATTGTCTTAGTGTCCGAGTTCGAAACACACATAAGCAAGTCAATATTGGTATGTAGAACAACTTTTACATACACACGAGGAATTGATGTTTTGACTTTGAAGTTAACTACGCGCAATAGTAACACACAATAATATTAATAATAATAAAATAAAAAACGCACTTGAGCTGTCTTTAGTGTCTGAGTTTGAAGCAACATAGGTTGATCAATATTGGTACTTAGGACGACCTTTACATTGCGCACAGATTTTTGTAAGTTTTAATTTTGAAAATTTAAAAGTGATAAAAATATATAGAAAACAAAGAATGCTGAAATTCTTTTATTGTTGAGTCACGATAAATCAATCGCTAGAGTTTGGTGATCATGAAGTTGTTCTTTAAATAATGCAATTTTCATTTTCAATCTTTCAATTAAAGTTAAAAATTATCACGAATAATATTACGAGAAAATTGTTGTTACACGGCATTCAATTTTGTAAAGAAAAAGGAAATAATAATAATAATAATAATAATGTAGCTATTATTCTCAAAATCTCTAATTAAAAAAACATCAAGTCGAATTTTATATTTTTACATAATGTCATATGCTGAATTATTATCATCATTATCACAAAAAAGAAAGGAATTTATATATAAAATTTATACTAGACTGCGTTTTTTTGCTATCATTGAAAAGAGAGATTTTTTTTCATTAGTCGAAGAAAACAAGAAGCTTTCTGAAAATGAAAAAGAATTTTGTAAGGAAAAGTTTATTTATGAGCCTGAATTATATAATGCAACAAATAAAAGGGGCAGACCAAAAGAATGTAACAAGTGCAAATTGACAAGATATTCTGATAGATTCTGTGAAGGTTGTATTAGCTTACAATTACAGAATCTTTTCACCACTTGGACATCGGGAAGTAACGTAATTGATGATTTTATTCAACAATGTCAAATGAAATCATCTCTGCCAGGATATATTTTAGAATGGATACCTTTTGAGCAATTTGAAGATATAACAAAGTTGACAGAAGATGGATTTAGTTCAATTTATACTGCTACGTGGACAAGAGGTTATATAGTTGATTACAACGAAAATAAAATGGAATTTGGTTATTTTAGAGGGCAAAAAGTAGTATTAAAAAGTTTAAATGATTCAAGTGATCCAAGAAAAAGCTTTTTTGATGAGGTTGGTAATTGTCATTTAAAACAATACTATATTATATATAATACTAATTGATTTTATATTTATTTTCAGGCAGTGAATTATTGTAAAATTAAATCGGACAAGATTGTTCCTTGCTATGGTATAACTAAATTCCCAGATAATGGAAATTGTGCAATTGTCTTGAATAATATTGCAGAGGGAAATTTAAGAGATTACTTGCAAAAAAATCATTTAAATTTAACATCAAAGGACAGGATGAAAATCTTTAAATCTTTATGTGATGCATTAAATGATATACATCAAAAAGATTTAATCCATTGTGATTTACATAGTGGTAATATACTTGTGGAAGCGGGTGGTTGTTTTATTACAGATTTGAGATTATGCAGACCAGTTGATGAAAAGTTATCAAATAAAGTCTATGGAATTGTATCATATCTTGCACCCGAGCTACTTAGAGGCAAAAATAACACAAAAGAGTCAGATGTTTATAGTGTTGGGATGTTAATGTGGGAAATATTTGCAGGTCATCTACCATTTGTTGATAGGGCTCATGACCATAGTTTGATTTTTGATATATGTGAAGGTTTACGACCACCAATATTATCCGAAATGCCTGATGATTGCGTGCAAATTATGCAGAGATGTTGGGATGTGGATCCATCAAAAAGACCAACTAGTAGAGAGCTTTGTGATTTTGCTATGCGTAAAGATAACGAATTGTTTATAAACTATATTAGTAATCGTATTGTTAATAATAATACTACTACTAGTGGTAGCAGAGGTTCACAACATGTACACAACTCGCATCCAAATGCATATCACACAAGTAGAAACTTAGATGAAGAGATTGCTAAATCTAAAGGCTTAAAAATTTATACAGATGATGATAGTTCGTTGAATAACCTTGATTTTCTCTAGAATGTTAACAAAGGTAAATAAAAATTTCATTATTAATTAATTGAAAATTACTATCCATTAATTATTACTAACAATATTTAATTAATAAACATTAGATTCTAGTAATAATAGTAAAAGAAAGACTAATTTAATCTCCATTATAAATTTATTATTTATCTTTATATTTTATTTTTATTTTGTTTCTTAAAGCTAAATTATAATAACATTATGAAAACAATAAACTTTTTATAGTTTCCTGGTTCTTGTTAAATGATGATGTCGCTTCGGTTAATTAACAATTATGGCTTAAATTTTGTGCTAGGTCTGTCAGTTAATTGCAAGCAACTCAAATAGTTCGGTGCCTGTCAATTAACTAGTTTACGAATTTACTTTGGTTCTCGATTACTGCACTAGGCGAATCTGTAAGCACACAGATAACTGCAATTAAATAAAGATTGCCCTTTTGCAATACTGCAAAGTTCCTTGTGATCGATTTGTTTCAGTCGTTTGCTGGCGGATTGCAAACTCATTTTGGCTTATTTACAAACGACTCAAGTAGCTTGTTTAGAAGCCTTACGTTTACGATTATAATAATACCACAGTATTTTCAATTAACCTTTGGACGATATTCATTAACACTTACTAGTTAGTTAGTCCTGACCTTTGCTTACTCACTAAAGCAAATATGTTATTAATTGTTGTTAGCACTCACTACTTAATATTTATTGTAGATCGTTACACGGTCTTTTTTGTTCTTATGGTTAAGTAATACCTCAAGAGGTTTGAATTTCCTTCAATGCAAAAATAATCTTCTTTGTAATAATATAATAATAATAGTAATAATAAAAATAACATTTTTACATAAATTACTCTTTAATTTTAATTAACAAATTGAAGTCGTGAAACACCTTTGGTGAAGCGAGTGCTTCGGAATTATTTGTTATTACTATATTACCAAGGAGATGGACACTTTTCGGAAATATAGTTCTTTTTCTTTATTTTTTTCTGTAAAAGGTTATCCATTTGGATAGTGAGGAAAGCGGTTAGTGGCTATACGGCTAACGGAAATCTGTCTAGTGAAGGACAGCTAAAGGTTGGGAACTTGGTTACATTCTCGCAATATTAAAGGCCTCATTACTTAGAGATCATGATAAGAAGAATTCAATGAATATGATTTTACTTTTATATATTTGATGGTTTGAAGGTTATATGGGTTTGAATTTTAATTCGTTTCAAGTTGTTTTCAATAATAAATAGGTGTAATACATTTTTTAAGGGCTATATATAAATAGTATAATTAGTTATTTTAGTACTGATTAAGAAGTAAAGGGAAATAAAAAACCATAAATTTTTAGAATAAACATATGAGTGGATTTGACGCGAGAAAGAATGTAGATCGATTAATTTCATCATCATTCTTTGCAGCCAGAATTAAACTGAGTTAAATCGGGTTTTGAAATTTCTTTAAAAGCATTTAAACCCCATTTTTAAAGCATTAATTTCCAAAGAAACTTTGATAACAATAATATTTTTTTAACATTTTGATTGTCAGAAATTTCCATTAAATAAATAATTAACAGTGATCTGCAAACTTCCAAGGAAATTTGTCATTGGTTTGAACACCCAGTAATTATATTGATTGTCTTCTGTGAGGTGAAGAGTAAATCGACCTATTAGGAACTGGCCTAAAGATAACTATGAAAATGGAGGCAATCAAAACAGTAAAAGTGAAGGACAGAAGTTTTCTATCAACAATTATTAGTTATTATAACCGACATTACGGGGGTTGATAATTTATCATACTAATACTTGTTTGTTGCATTAAAATTATAAAGTTTGAATTCAATTCTTGCAAAGAAAATGAACAAGCAATAGCATACAATGGCATAATTGTCTGTGAATTTTTCTCTTCGTACTGTACATTTTCTATAATAACAGAATAAATAATAAATAATATTTGTTTGAGAGTTCGAATAAATGAAATTATTAGTCAAATTATACGTCATGACTATTTACGAAAATTGGAATCTAATACTAACTCAAATAAATTCATTTTTTATAGTCGTATTATGTTTTTGAATTAATATTTTCACAAAACACATTAATTGATTTAACAAGGGCAATAATTTCATTAATAAAAACGTTGGCTATACTAACCCGCCAAAATTTGGTCCATAGTAATTTCATTAACCAAACTCCACTGGTAGAAACAACAACCGTTTTTACAATATTTTTACAATAACTTTATAATATTTCACTGGTGTTTGTAAAACTGTTGCAAAAATATTGTAAAAACGGTTTTTATGTCTTCACTATGTGAAATCTTTGTGAATTCCATTTTTTCTACCAGTAGTTCTTTTGACAATAATTTTGTCGGCCGGAACAACGTTGACAATAAGCACCTTAATAATGATTCCAACGAGCACTGTCATTGGTAATAATTGTATTGGCCAGAACACTGTTATTAGTCCAACTAGCATAATCAATGACAATAATAATGGTCTCCTTGACCAGAATCCAACTAGAATAATTTTTTCAATAATTTCGTTGATCAAAATATGCAAGAAAATCAACACATGTATGTATATGCATATATAACATTGTAAAAAAAATTTGGTTAACTAGTAAAAATTTTTTTGGTTTTTCTATCGTATTCGTTTCATCAATTTCATCAACTTGCCATATCAGCCGATTTGGTTTTTTGGGCCTTTTTTCAAACCTTATGTCTTGTTGTGTCTCGATGTTAAACACGAGTATTTTTAATGTGTAAACCGGTCAGTAGAGTGATAATTAACCCTAAAAAAATTTATTTGCTCCGCAAAAAAAAACTAATTTACTATTCAACAGCCCGTCAAACCAATGGCACCACATCAAACCAATGGGTTTTTGCTAGTATAAAGTATTCATAACGTTATGATCATACCGTATTGAATTTTGGGGATCAAACAAAATCAGCGCATATGCATTGAAAAAGATAACTTTGTTATGGTGACACCAGTTCTTCTCATGGTGTTCTATATCTATTTCATGAATAATAATATCTCGATCCAGGCCTACTCTATTCTTCAACATAATTAATTTTTTGTTTCCAATCAAATTCAAATGTAATTCATGATGGTGGTGTGTTGTTAATGAACATTATATTTTTTAAGGCTGGATTTTCTTTCAATGTGAAGTATATCACTTCTGATTAATTTCATTACAAAATTAGTATGGTTGGGCTCGCTCCTATTGCTGCGCCGCGCGCCAAATTTCAAAAATTGCGATTTTGTGATTCGTTCAAAAAATTTTTCAAAAAAGTATTCACGTGACTTTGGTTAAAAAAAACTATTTCCTGTCAAATTTAGATATGATTGACGAGTAGTTAGTCTAAATTTAGTAATGATAAGCTAAAACTAGTCTAAATTTAGTAATGATCCTAGCGCTAAGTTCCTCATGAGCATAGTAAAGTACATGTTTTACAAAAGGATAGAACTCTACAACAAATAAATTTTTTGAGAAAATCTCTCTATTACATTAAAATTAAAGACCTATTCTATCAACTAATAGAGTTATTTTTTTAAAAGGTGGGACAGAAGATGACTTCTATACTTTTAAAATTTGCACAAAATTTAGGAGGTCTTTAGACCAAGCCAACTATATTATAGATTAAAGATGCGATCAAAGACAATTTATTTTTAAGGCAACGTCATATATAATATTTGGATAGAACATTCAGACGCACTAGTTAACTTAGTGTAACTTGAAGATTATATTAAATAACTCAAATAAATGTTTATTAAATTAATAAAAAAATTAATGTATTGTTATGATTATAAGAATCATTCCATAAATATAATTTCAATGACTCTTTTTTTTTTTTTGTTAGATTTTCCCAAAATATTTGCATGTCCAAAGGGTTAAAGAATATGTACATTATTGTATAATTATTTATGCTGTTACTGTTTTTGCGTCTAATAGTCTCTCAAATTCGATGTAAGAAATATATATATATTGGCATAAGTAATTATACTAGATTGCAATGTTGGAAATGATGATGGATGGAATTTATGATGATGATTTTGGAGGTTGCACCATAAGTGAAGATGCATGCGTGATTTATGAACCTTAATTACAAATAGTTTAAAATATCTTTTTTATTGATAAACCATTTAAAATATTCGTAAACTGACCAACAAATAGCAGTTGATGGCATATGAGACAACACACGTGGTCTTAATCCTCTGAAAAACCCTTTTAGTTCATTTCGTTCATAAATAATTTTAAATGCTCCAAATAATCCATTGCAATTTCTTATTTTTAAATCATTTGTGTTGCCTCGTGTTTGTAATAGAGTTTTTGCGACATCTAAAGGTGTTGTTGCAGCTGCTGCAATTGCCCCTGCCAATCCACCAGCCATAACATGAGTCTTTGGATCATATTGACCACTGGGATTTAACACTTTACGAAAATATTCATATGAACTGAATTGAAAGACTTGAAATGGTATTGTCATTGAAAGTGTTGTTGGGTATGATACATAAAATGCTATTAATCCCTCTCTTGAATAAACTGTCTTAGCACAATCAACTACATTACGGTATACTGATCCATGAACTTGCATTCTTTGTTTAATAACTATAAAGAAAAATATGTTAAAAATATTATCATTTTTAAAAATATATAGTATATAATAATATATTTATTTACCATCAAATGGATTCATCAATGCATCACTTGCTATTGTTGCACATGCACCTGCTGCACCTTGATTTTAAAATAAGAATAAGTATATATATATATTAATACACAAAAAATACAAAAATATATATATAATCAAAATATCTAAAAGCATATCACAAATACCTGCGGCAAATGGATGATGTCCTGGATCTTTTTTATCCGCTACAAATAAATCTTTGCAAACTTCATAAGTACTAAAATATAAAGCATGTGAAGGTCCTGCTCCTAATACCACTGAATTAACCCCACGCCATAGAGTATGTACCCCTTCTGTTGTAGAAATTCGTGAAAATGCATTCAGTACTCCTGTGTAAACAGCTTGTGGTGTTGGATTTATTATTTGCATACGAGTCTATATATGTATGTATATATATGATACGGTAAGATATAGATATAGTTTTGAAGGTAATTATAATGTGTGTATAGCCACTTTACCTTTACACTATCTACAGGGTACATAATTGCGTGTTCACCTATACCTGCTAAGGCTCCTGCGATTAAGTTTGCTGTTAATGGTGAATTTTCTGGTAAAGATTCATAATCATGATCAACAATTTCAGGCATTTTCTTTTATTATATTTTATATATATATAATTTTATATTTTTAATAATAATACAAAAAGGTTAGTAAAGAAAAAAAAAATATTTTTTGGTTTTTTTTGGTATAAATAAACTACGATCAGATAAGAGTGTCTTTTTTACACAACATATTATAACATAATCAATATAAAATACCAATTATATAATATTATTATTTATCAGATTTTTTTTAAAAAGGAAAATCAGATTTTTATATGTACATTATTATTATGTCTGACAAAATGAACACTATGTCACGAGTTTTTTAGTGTAAGAAAACATTTTATTCTAAAGTTCCTAATAACATTTTCACTTTGGGATATTCTCATTTGAATATTTTGGTTGCTTTTTCAGGCTAGCAACTTCGTCTAAATAAATATTTTCTTTATCATCAAAACCTTTTTTTTTATCCTTTAATTGCCCAAATTATAATTGGCTTATGTCTTATTCATCTTTGCTAATCGTAATCTATCTTCAATGATATGGTCAATAGTTTGGATCTTGGCCTTTATAGTAGTTCGTCAAACAAAACTTTGTATCACTATTTAAATTTTTGGTTCATCAGATACCACATATCATCTGAGAACATCATGGTTCGCCAATTGATTTTGATACTATTGGATGCTAACGATAGATAACTTTTCGAGAGACATGTCAATACATTTATCTGGTGATATTAGACGTTAAAAAACCTTAGTTGACTAAGCCATCCAAGAACTAATTTTTTATCTTGTATATATATTTATATGAATTATCAAAAAATCAATTATTTTTATTGTTTGTAAATACCGTTCCCAGCTGATGAAAACAACCTCTCGGATGGTATTAAGCCTGCCGGCTTACATCACTACGCTTATCATTCGATATGCCAATGCCCTATTTCAGCACATCTGCCAAGATATTATGTCGACGCAGCTTTCAGTGTACTATTTCGATGCACATGGGAGCTTTCAATAGAAAGGGGCCATAACGTGAAAAAACATCTACATTTCAAGGAATTTGCGAAACATTTAAAGGAAAATAGCGCAAAGTGTTATTATGATTTTCAGCTCTAGAGTTCGAATGATGATACCATTTGATATTATTGCTTCATTACATCGGAAACTTTAAGATAACACCACATCAAACATTTCGGGGTAACTCCCCAAGGGGTCTTTTTTAAGAATGTGCTAAAATTGAATCCTATATATAGTGATTTAAATTTTGAAAAAATATCCGTTTCTTGCTATTATTATTATTATTCTTTATTGTTAGTGCCGCCTGTATTTGATTAGCTAGTATTACACATTGCTGACAAACTCTAATAATCGATGGAATTATTTCACAAATTGAATTATAATAATAGTTAGGTCAAAATTGTCTATCACGTTTCTACTAATATCCATACCCAACAAAATTGGGATTATTACGAGTGAGTCGAGCAAGTTACTCACATTTTAGCAGTTCTATTTTTTTATTAGGGCTGAAGTTAATTATTTGAGGTCCCGAACTCAGAAATTACCAAAACTTTATTTCAGTGATCTTAGATCATGTGGTACTAGAAATAAGTTGATAATTTTTTTTGATATTTTATTTTATACTTTCGTTATAATATAGATTCCGCGGTGTACAAATGCACATTATTATTATAATAAAAATTTTTTCATTATAAAAACAAATAATTCCTTTTACACATGCTTGTAACAACGTGAGTTACATTTACTTCCAAATTAACAAATGCAAACTTTATTAATAATCTACTTGATTATATTACAGGTAAATTATAAGAAGATTTATAAATCAGTAGAAAAGGCTATGGTTGCATACCTTTTGAGATCGGATAAACATGCAAAGTATCCTTGTCTATTCTCAGGATCTGAAACTTGTAATCCATACATATCCTTTGGGATATTTATAGACATTGATACCTTACTGTAGATCATCAAAGTTGACCAATATTTCTTTAATATTCACAATTTTTGGTGGATAAATTATAGAAAGATTCGATTGAGGTGCCGCAATTATAGACGCTACTAATTGAATTTTCCCTTCCTGTTTTTTTTAAGGCTTCTTATGTTATCTTTGGATAATACCCATGCTATTATTTCAGTACTTCTTTCACATTCTCTATCACCAGGTGATTCAAATATATTTTCGTTAAGGGTAGAGTATAGTTGCGTGATTCTACATAAAGATTTTCCTGCTTTTCCTTATTTATCCTCAATAATTGATTGATTTTTATAAAATACCCAGCAAGCTCCCTCATTTGAAGGATAGATAGAACAAATGGTATACGTGGGAGATATATTATTATCTTGTAATTGACTTTTTTTCAACTCATCTATATAGTTGATAGTAACATTTGGAAATTTTTTTTTTTAAAACTAGGTTATTTTTATGTTTCCAAATTTACAAACCTAAGAACTTATTGGTAGAGAATTAAAAACAATATATATATATATATATTTTGAGGTTTAATAATATATTTTATTATTTACATTATTTGTGTTATGTATAACAATTATTATTGCATTCGTTACAGCTATTTACTATTTTGTTATAAGTTTTATGTATTTTATAAGTAATGAGAAAACCATTTTTGACTTTTACAAAAAGGATTTTCAATAATAAACGTCTCACAAAAATTGGTTTTGAGGACGGCTCGCGTAATTTTTTTATCCATGCGTCATAGTAAAAATTCGTGTTACATGCACCAATTCTAAAATAGATCAAAACCTGCAAATTTAGGTTTATAATTAATATATTTGAAGGACAACTCCAGTGTTGAAAATCCCAGTGCCCCGCAATGTAACATTACACACTAATAATTTTTGGAGATAGTTTCTAAATTTGTACTAGTTACATAACGAAATTTCAAACACTGCGATTCTCCAATTGTCTTAAACGTGTAATCTTGAAGTTCTGGAATAACATCATGTTCATTACTTTTTAAAAAAAAAATGTTTAGCTTTATGTTTTTACATAAGTCATGATGATTTATAAAATATTGTAAACACGAATTTTATTACCTGCTTCTAATACATCGCGCATTGATTACTTTGTCATGAAATTTAATCCTCGATGCTTTCTCTTCGAGAGACGAAAATCTTGAAGATAATTCAGCAAAAAAAGGTACCTGTCTGTCTTCTATCCTTGATAATTCGAGTTGCAGAAAGTAGCGAATTTGCGAAAAGTTTTTACACGACACTATTAAACTTGTGGTAGTCCTCGCAATGCTTGTTAGTCTTACAGCTCTTGTAAGCAAGTGGAAACTCATTATTATCTAGAAGCTTGTGTTCGTGTTAATAACATTTCATTTAATACTCCATATCCTTTTATGCTCTAATCATCACACGTGGAATTTTTCATAATTCACCAACATTTTTTATGATCTGTTTCCATTCAACTAATAATGCGATATTGTATTTCAAATTTGCATTACCGTATTCACAGTCAAAGCTCTCTATAACGAACCCCATGGACCGAGAATTTTGGTTCGTTATAGAGAGCGTTCACTATAAAGAATTGTGATCATCTCATTTCATGGGCACGTGATCGTGTTTTGAATAATTTATTGGCTATATAGTAAATTTTTTTTTTTTATAATAAATGTTTATGTAGCATAGTGGAAATTTGAAATGTTACAATGTAACTTTACAATACACAGCAAAAATTCTGGCAATAAAAAGTAAGTGATAAACTAGATTTGAATTGGATCTGAACTTAATCTCCAATTTAGAGAAGTAACAACTATATACTGGTGAAGTTTCAAGAGCAATGGGTTCTGTATAACATTTAGTGTAACAAAAACTTCCACTATGTTTGTTTATGTTACATGGGAGTTCGTTATAGAGAGCTTCATTTATTATATAAATTTGCATTTGGTTCCCTCAAAGACAGTTCATTATACAGAATAGAGAATTTAATTATAAAGTTTGTTATAGAGAGCAAATTTAATTAATAAAAAATCGGGACCAAAATCTTAGTTCTTTATATAGAGCAGTTCGCTTCTCGGAGGTTTGTTATAGAGAGCTTTGACTGTATTTCCATAATTTGTAAACTTTATTATTACGAATTTTTTATGCAGATCACAAGATCGTTGAATTTCCAACGCTGGATTGAATATATAATTTTTTGTCTCATGAAAACTGGTTTTTGGCGTAGCCATTTTATGTGGGAATATAAAATTTAATAAAGCTACTAAATTCTTTTGTTCTAAATATTCTTTTCATTCCCTGTTAGAGTTGTTGCCTTTCACACAGGTAATAAATTATGTAATTAAATTGATTATTGTAATAGATTAAAAGATTAAAAACCAAATTACATCGATAATAATTTCTATTATTAGGACGTACCCATTTATTTCAGAATTCCAAATCTGCCAAAGATGGGACCAATAAGTCTATTTTAAACATAATATTACCATTATTATTATCGTCAATTAATGTATATGTATATAGGTTATATTAAAGGATCTGTTAATGATGCAGCAACTTTACCAACAAAAGATGGGTCATATCACTGGGATTTCAAAAGACCTTAATCGATATCATTAGTTCCATTAACAATCACCTCAGTTATAAATGGAGCACATCCAATTACAGATCTTTGCCTGGGAATAATCCTGCAAATTCATTGTCACATTGGATTTGATACAATTATTACAGATTATTTGCCGGCTTATATATCACCAAAACTTAACAAATTTTTTACTTGGGGATTAAGAGGCGCTACATTGTTGGTGCTTATAGGTTGTTACCGGATTAATACAGTTTGGTGTGGGAATGACTGAAATTGTGAAAAGAGTTTGGCGTGCTTAAAGAAGATTCTCGAGAGAGAAAATAATATAATTAAATATATATTTTATATTTTATTATTATTATGTTGTATCACACATTATTTATTATTTAGAAGAAAAAAATATTCTTAGTATTTATATTAAGAATTGTATTATTTTTTTCCAAAAACAGTTGCTCTGTTCTATTTTTGCACAAAAAAAAACCGCATTTTTCACCATTAATATATGTTTCTCTTAACATATTTACAAAATAAAATCGCTCTTTATTGTCACAGAGACATTATCTAAACATGGTACAGTCAAAGCTCTCTATAACAAACCTCCAAAAACCGAGCTGCTCTCTATAATGAACTAAAGTGTTGGTCCCGATTTTTTGTTAATTAATTTTGCTCTGTATAATGAACTTTATAATTAAATTCTCTATTCTGTATAACGAACTGCTTTTGAAAAATCATATTAATATGACAAATTTACATATAAAATGGCATTCTATATATCGAACTTTAATGTGGGTCTGATTCATTTCGTCGACAATCATTTCGTCAAAAGTTCATTTCGTCGAAAATTATTTCGTTGACAGTTCATTTCGTCGACAGTTCATTTCTACAACAATTCATGTTAATTTGCATGTATTACAGTGTCACTAATTATGTTTGGGAAAGCGTGAATTAATTGATGATAACAATTGTTTATTATGTTTATGTGGAATAGGTTTACTAACATATTAGTTTAATTAGTGGATAATTTTGGTTTTAAATGTTTATTTATTTTATTTAGTTGAAACTAATTAAAGATTTAGAGCTATGTTTTAACAAAATTTTAATCCATTGATTGGCCAATCAAAATCGTGAATTTGATAACGTAAAAATAAATGAATTATTTATATTAATATGAGAGTTAATAAAAATATTC